GGGAGAGAAAACTAGTTTAAAAAAGGCTGCCTCCTTCTTCTTAAGAACCCTCTCCTTCCCTATATGCCTTGTCTTCATTCTGCCTCTGAGTTTAAGAGTTAGTAATTCCTACTTGAACCTCACATTTGTTCTTTGCCTAGCTTTCCTAATCTCAAATAATAAATGATCTATAAGCTAATATACTGAATCCTTTATATAACAAAGCTCTCTCTGTAATGCAAATAATCACTCTATAATTCAGTCATGTTGTACATGTGAATTTTCATAAAGTGGCCTACCCCAGTAATACAAGGAAGCACTTTTCCCAGGAAGTAAAAAGGCAACTGAGACATGCTGAAAGGGAGCCTGGATAGTCGATTAGCACAGGTGGAATGTTGCTTATCTTCCTAAGAGTCTTTCTCCCTGCTGATCTCTTCCTTCCTGTTTGCCTTTGATAGATGTTTAGGATTAGATAGGTAACCTGGGAATGATTCATGTGAAATTGAAGGTCAAAATTTATTGACACATATCATTTTACTAGACTATGGGTAAATAATCTCCTATGGGGGGAAAAAACTGGGTTTGGGTTTCCCCAACAATTTTGAACATTAAATCGACTAGTGTAGTTTTGATTGTAAGGAAACTTTTCTATTATACTCTTTTAAATCACAAAATTATTTTTCCATATTTTGTATAATGTTCCAAAGAAACCATCCAAATACCTCCTTGAAAGAAGACATTAGGTAGGAGTATTTCAGCTTTGGAGACTTGCATGTAGTTACTTAAAACATTGTAAATATTCCCTTCGTCCTTGAAATGCACCATATAAATATTGCATTTGATCCTTAACTTACACTTCATAAATAATTTATTTCAAAAATATTCCTCCATAAGACCATCAGTTGCTGAGGTGTTCAGTTTTCGGGGAAAGCATTTATTTACTGCATGAGCTGAGGAAGGCTGGTAAAGACTTGGCTAAAAGCTCCACGTGGAGCAAATTATGGTAATTATATTAATGCTCAAATCCATGACGCTCAATGCTCAAATCTGTTAAAAGGTTTTGTGCTATACTGCCCACATCTTGACGGGCAATGAGGCCACTGAAAATGCTTAACACTTTACAGGGAGACTTCCGAGATTCATTTTTCATAGTTCCAAGAACTGTTGAAGAATGTCTGGAGGTGGCTTCCAGAGGAGTTTCTGAAAGTCACAACTGAGAGTAAATGTCTTCTGCCTCAGGTTCAGACGGAAACTCCAAGCTCAAGTGCCCGGAAATGGAAATCAAAGGAAGCTTCCCACAGTTAATTTTGACGAATGGATGAGTTTTAATTCATGTTTGGCAATATTCTGGTTAATGATGTCTCCTTTGCACATCCATTAAAAACCCATTAACTTAACAGGAAAAATCTAATAAAGTTACCCTGGAAATTTTCTGCTAAATTAACATTATGGACTTTAAATGAAAATTTCTGTAGGTATTGCTCTATTAGCAGAACTAATATACTAATGAAACATGTACCTTATGTAAGATGCGGAAACAAAGAAGAGAAAAATGTTAAAATAATCAGAAAAGGAGATGACTTGAGGCCCAAGTTGTCAAAGATTGCTGAAGCCATTAAGTACCCTCATCACAACTTTTAAAAGCAAGAAGATCTTGCTCATAAATTTATCCACTTACCAATCAAGTAGTAATTTAGCTATAAAAATATGTCATGCCTTCTGCTAGTACTGGAAAGACAAATGTAAATAAATGAAAATTCTTGTGCTGAAGAGCTCACAGTCCAGTATGGAATCAAGATATATAAACAGGTAATCAAGGTGTTAAGCATTTCCAGTACTATTCTAAAGCTAATATCTAACACGACTCAGGAAACTCAGGGAAGAACAAGTAACTTTGGGGGACATACTAACTTTAAAAATCACTTAACTAATTAAAATGGAAAAGTGTGTTCCAGTTAAATATTAGTTTCTTCTAGGTCCTCACATTAGGAAGGTTTCAATCCTGACATCACTTGTTGGTTCTATGCAAGCTTAGATAAGGTAAGTCTCTCTGAGCCTCCTCTGTCAATAGGCTAACAATGCTTTGGTCAGTAGGTGTAAGAACTACATGAGACAAGTATGTAGAACCCAGAAGGGAAGGGAGAATCAGCATTTACTCACTCATAGGCAAGTGCTCTACCATTGAACTACAACCCCAGGCTCATGGTAAGCTATTTTTTAATTGCTACCAGACAGGACAGTGGAGGTAAAGCAACATTCTGAGACTTGTTAAGACCATTGGTACTTAGCTCCCAGGTTCAGTGTGTTAGCCCCAATTTGCTTTCCATTCCAGGCCAGAAATCCCTTTCCCCAGCTGGGGTCTAACAGTTCTTCGTCAAGGCTGGGAGCCCACAGAGAGCCTTCAGACAATCACATTGGGTTCTAAGGACTTAGAGGCCCATTTTAGCCACTAAAGCATCAGTGCCTGGATGTGATTGACTGGATTGTGACCCCAAATTCAGATGTTGAAAGCCATATCCCCTGATGTGATGACTGTAAAAAACAGGGCCTATAAGAAGGTAATTAGGATTAAATGAGGTCATAAGAGTGGGGCTCTGATCCAATAGAATTAGCATCCTATTGAGAAAAGACACCAAAGCTCATTCCCTACCCTGATGCACAAAAAGGACAAGTGGGCACACACAGAGATGGCAACCACCTACAGGCCAAGAGAAGAGGACTCAGGATGAAACCTATCTTGTCAGCACCTTTATTTTGAACTTCCCAGAATCCAGAAGTGTGAGAAGTAGGTTTCTGTTATTTAAGTCATGGAGGTTATGGTATTTCACTATGGTAGGCCTAGCAGACTGAGGCACTGGGATCTCTTTGCTGCTGATTCTCTTAATTCTTGCTATCGATTAGTCCAAATTATTGTGTTTAACCATGCACATTCAGTCAGCAGACTCTTTTTAAAATTTTTTTTGGTTCTGAGGATTGAACCCAGGGCCTCTAACATGCTAGGCAAGCGCTCTACCGCTGAGCCACAACCCCAGCTCTCAACAGACTCTATCAACAACATCTTTATGCCAATACACTCAGACGTAAGGACAGTTCTGTCCTCCAAAGGCTTGGCATCTCTTTCCTGTTTGGATGTTCAGTTACCTTGCTGAGAGTGAAGCAGTTTAAACTGCTACTCTGATTGGCAGGAGTCCTGACACACCAATAATGGACAGTATCCCCAGATACCAGGAAGGTAAATGTTTGGCCCTATTTCTCAGCTGCTTTCCCAGTTTCTGGCTCCAAATGGTATCAACATGGAGCACTTTAAGACAAACCACCATATGATTTAAATTATTGATACTTTATTATGCTCTGCAAAGTTGCATTAACTGATCACACTGCAACCCAACTGTACTCCTCCCCAGTTCAGGCATGGACACTTGTCCCAGTCTAGCTCAAGTTGGCTCTGGGTACTGCATATCAGACTACTGCCTAATCCCAGTGGAGGCCAGCCACATAGCCACATCCATTCCCGTAGTCTAGTATGTCCCATGGAAGAGTCAGACCTGGCATCTTAATAGTGGGTAAAGAGCTGGACCTCAATTTCCCCATCTATCATGGGAATCATGAAACAAATAGATTTGTGGGGGCCAACCAAGGTAATGTACATAAATCACCTAACAACATGGAATGTAACTGGTGACTAATGACTGCTGTTTGCTTCCCTCCTCTCTTCCCTTGTTGTAAGCACCTCCCCCGTTTTACCACCTCAGATCCTGTGATGGTTTCAACAAAGCCACAGAAATTCTAGCAGAACTCTTTCTGCATACCTCCCTGGCTCTGTTCTTTTCTCTAGATGTAGCTATTATTAGTTGAATAGATCATAGACAACATACCAGAATCAGCAGGGTACATGCTACTTGCATCCTTTGTTTCTATTCTATGTACTTGAATTTTCATAGAGTAGTCCTGGGATTCTACCCAAGATAGGTAGATTGAAATGAAATAACTGACTCAGAAATCAAGGTGGTCAGAAATTGTAACAGACACTACTAGTTTGTCAATACTTAACAGTACAACTTTCAAGATTTAGTGGTCACATAGATGGACACATCTAGTCAATCACTACATTTTCCAGCCGCTTCTACAGCCCACCGGGACCTTCTGAATGAATGCTGGCCAACAGGAAGTGGTCAGATAGGAGGTTATGCTGCCCTCAGAAGACTGAACATAATTCCCCTGGTCTCTATTCTTCTTTCTCACTGGCTGGGAATGGATAAGAGCTGAAGCAGTTAGTTTGGACTTACTGCTGGAGGTCCTGCTTGGACAATGGCAGAACTGCACTAATAGCTACTTACCTCTGCTCTATTACATAAGACAGAAATGACCTCCTATCCTTTCTACCCTTATTGTTACAATATTTTAGCCTGTATGCTAAACAATTCATAACGAGGAATAATTGCTTACCTGATGACAGGTTACTAGAATTTTAAGTAATTGCAATTACTACCTACTAACTGTGAAATGACCTTGTAAACCTCAAACTTTAAATCTCAACTATCATTATCATGTACATAGGTGAAATTTTTTTTACCAGGCAAACACCTTAGTCACTCACACCTGTGCCATACAGTTAGTGACACACAGAACTGGAAGCCTGGGACTCAAAAGCTTTGCTCAGCAAGTGCTTGTTCACATTCTATTTTCTGTTTTTTGTTTTTTTCCCCCTGATTTGTCTAATTTTGATCTTTTCAATAGCCTTGACTTGTTTCTTGAACCTAACTCTCAACTATTTCTCTTCTACTCCCTGGAAATATACTATGCATCTCCACTTGATTCATGCAAGTCCTAATATGAGGGCCTACATCACGACCTACCCATCATAACTGACTCAGTTGAGACAACTCAAAAAAACTGAGTTGACTTCCTACATTTTAATTCAAACAAAACCAAACCGGTACCCAAACAAACAAATACAAAATTCACCAATATTCATACTTGTACATACAAATGGCCATTTTCCAAATTTTCTATTGTTTTACCTATTTTGTTGTAATTATCAGCAACAAAGTCTTCCAAACCAATCATCTTCCAGAAACTGTCATCCCAACCTTTCTCAGCTGAGTATGTCCATTTGCATACCAGGGAGCAGAGAGACCTAGGAAAATGACAGGAAAGTAAAAGTTACAACATGAACTATGTTTCCTTCATATTTTGCAAAACACCTGTCTAGCTAGCTGCAGTAGTACTGAGAAAGTGAAATAAACCAAAGTAATTATGAATCCCTGTTTAAAGCAAATGTCTGGGCTGGGGTTGTGGGCTCAGTGGTAGAGCACTCGTCTAGCACGTGTGAGGCGCTGGGTTTAATCCTCAGCACCACATAAAAATAAATAAAATAAAGGCATTGTGTCCAACTACATACAACTAAAAAAAATTAAATAAGTAAATAAATAAAGCAAAGGTCTCTATGCATACCTGTTATTTACCAGTAGCTCCTTCTTTCACTTTCAGAAGAGCCTCAGCCCTTTATTTGGATCCTGATCAAACAAATTCTGTATATGAATATTTACATTTATATTTATACTTATATGACATTTATGAGAAAAGTAGAAATTATAATACTGATTATCTATTTGATTAAATTGAATTATTATGTTTTAGAAATGACATTGTTAGTTGTAGTTAAGTATTGCTCCTTGTCATTTAGATATATATTAAAATATTTTGGTGTCATATGATGTGATATTTTGAATTTATTTCAAAATAATACGGGAAAGAAAGTGAATGGCATTTTGAATAGGACAGGACTGTTTTGCTTTGTCAGTTGCTGGGATGACAAATGGGTTGATAGGTGTCCATTGTACTATTATGTCTACTTTTGTACCTGTTCAAAATTCTCTGTAATAAAAATGTCTTTAAAAAGTGCCTCATATACATAACTAACAAAAATACTTTAGTCTAAAACCATTTTTAAAAGGAGGAAGACTTAAGTACTGGATGTATTCCTTTTTAGCTTTATTTCTCATCAAGTCACCCTTAATATTTTACATTCCATCAATAAAAGATTCATTGAGTTTCTCTGGAATAAATGGCATGCTCTTGCACATTCTGTGCCTCTGACCTAACCCCAGCAGTTTGGAATATTCTTCCCAGTTCTTCTCCTTAATGTTTCAAACTCTTCCTTTAGCCTAACCTGGGACTCCACTTTGGTATTCCTTTTCTGAGCTTCCAGAGCATGGAGTATATCTTATCACACTGTGTAATAAACTGCTCCTATCTCTCTCTCTCTTTCTCTCTCTCTCTCTCTCTCTCTCTCTCTCTCTCTATATATATATATATATATATATATATATATATATATATATATATATATATTATAAGGAAGATATATATATATCTTCCTTATAAACCCTAACATTCCAACCCATTCTCCATATTTTTTCCAGAGCAAACTTTATAAATGAAAATGTTATATCAACCCATGATTAAACCCCTTCCAGTGACCCTTCATGAAAAGGCAGCACCCACCTGTTTCCCCTCCTACACTCCCACAATTGCTTTCTTCATTCTGCAATAGTAATCATTTGAAGTTTCATTTATTTGGTCTCAATTCCTCACTTCCATTTGTTTCTGGTATGATATTCTCTACTATGCATCTAACTCCTAGTTAGCTTCACAGGTCAGCTAAGATTTTCACTTTTCCAATGCAGGACATTCTGGTCCAAAGCCCTTCCTCCAAGCGCCAACCTGGACATACACTCGTCTTATATCTAACGAAGTAATTGTCTTTGCCTGTTCACTATTCCTTTTCTCCCAGTAAACCAGCAACTCCTTTAGTACATAACCAGTCCTACTCATCTCAGTATCACCAGAACAGAGTCATGTAGGCACATGTTGAGCCACAATGAATAGAGATCAAATGGAAGCATTAAATGAATATGGTTTGCCCACCTCACCACAAGCAAATGGTAACTATGAGGAGGCCACAGTCACAGTTTTAAAGACAAACCAAGGCTATTTCAGGGTCAATGCATTCAGGCATTCACACAGTTCATCCACCCACTCATCCACTATTCAGTATTCAGTTAAGATGACCCTGGCACTTACTCTGTTAGGCTCTAGGGACCAGTGGTATGCAAAACGTAAGGGCTTCTGCTCTCACAGAAGCTGAAAGTTTAATTGAGGAGACATTGACCAAACAATCACACCTAAAAACTTATACTAACAAATAACCATAAATATTCCAGAGGACACAAAAAAAGAAATGGGAGCATTCCGCAGAAGAATCTGCTGTAATTTGGTGGCAGGGGTGGGATGGTGGGGTAGTAGGGGAGAAAAAGGAAGGTTCCACAGAGGATGTGACATTTACTAAGGACTAAACTGAAATCAAGAAATGGTATTTATCATTACTGATTTTCTTCAAAGGGGCATAGATGGCAGAACACATTGAGCTGTGCTTAATGGCAACTCACATATTAAAAGAGAGCTAATAAATAACATTTATATATATTAGCAACCATATATATTACATATAATACATATAATTACATATATATGTACACATATATTATAATCATATGTATATAAAATGATTATTTAAGCAAGACCATTTTTCCCCCAATGTCTGGAGATGGCAGCCCACCATGCAGCCTGCTCTGAGGAATACACAGTGGCTAATGCTTCCTGGCACACTATCTGAAATGCCAACTCTTTTGGAACTGTGGTCGTCATGGGGAAGAGCAAAACTCAGACAGTGGAGAAGGATTATTTCCAATGACTTAAGCATACAGGACAACTCTTTACTCCTTAAATGCCTTCTGCATCTCTACTTTGACTGTTAATTCCATTTTAATTATTGTTCCTTTTACTCATCTTTGTCCACTTGGCAAACTCCAAGTCACCTTTATGAAACAGTTCCAATGTTATGCCTCTATGAAATTTTCCCCCCTTCCTCTAAGTTACACTCATGGCTCTCTCCTTTGAGGCACCACTATAAATTGGAAATATTGCACTGTTATTCTTCACAGCTGAAGAAAGTTATGTTCATGGCCCGGATCTTCCTACCTTCATATTTCTGCATCTTTTGCCATGTATCTATCAGAACATATCTGCTCCTGTTCCCTGCACTGTTCCTTACCTCTGGATTAGGTTCTGATTCATGACTGAATTTAGCCAAAAAAATAAGGCAAAAGAGACTGCACACCATTTGTAGTCTAGGCCTCAAGAGGCTTTAATGTATGTTGCTTGATCTCTTGTATCTCTGGCACTTCCATGAGAAGATCATGCTGGGATAGCCCATTGGTCGCCTGAGGAGGACCTGAGACATATGGAGCACAACAATGAGCACTTGGGTCCAATCTGGATAAGAGAGCCCTATGTAGTCTTGGATCAAGTTGGAGCAGGCAGCCAAAACCCTAGTGAGTCCAGCTGAAATCCAAAAACCACCCATCAGAGCACAGACTAAATAAGCTGTCCACAGGCTAAATAAATTATTTTGGGGTTAAGGTAGTGAGCAGTGGTTGTGGTTTGCAACCAAAATAAAGTTAGAACTTCAGAACATAAGTAAATTAGTCCAAGTAGATTGTCTCCCCCAATGAGGGAAAGTTTAGGAATGTCTCATTTCTTAATGGTTAGAAAAATCAGCCAGAGGGTGTTCTGGAGTGAGGATGACTGAATCCAGAAGGCAGAAAATGCCATGATACAGCTGCCTCTGGAAACTCCATCTTCCTTACAGGTTATACAAACATGATTAAGGTCCATTTCACTCAGGTCTCTAAATCAACTGGCTATCATGGATGTGCTTTTAAGTAGCTGACTAGCAAAGTTAAGAGAATGTATCTGAGGCTATAGGTTCTCCAGAAATCTCTAGGAGACAGAGAAAAATACAGAGCTTTTTAAAAAATTATTTATTTATTCTAATTTGTTATACATGATAGCAGAATGCATTTTAACTCAGAGTGCACATATAGAGCACAATTTTTCATTTCTCTGGTTGTATATAAAGTAGAGTCACACCATTCATGTCTTCATACATGTATCTAGGGTAATGATGATTCCACCATCTTTCCTATCCCCATGTCCCCTCCCTTCTCCTCCCTTTCCTTTGCCCTATCCAGAGCTCCTCCATTCCTCCCATGCTCCTTTCCTGACCCTGGCCCCTATTATGGATCAGCATCCACATATCAGAGAAAACTTTAGCCTTTGGTTTTTGGGGATTGGCTTATTTCACTTAGCATGATATTCTCCAGCTCCATCCATTTATCTGCAAATGCCATGATTTTATTCTCTTTTAATGCTGAGTAATATTCCACTGTATATATTTACCACGGTTTCTTTATCCATTCATGTATTGAAAGGCATCTAGGTTGGTTCTACAATTTATCTATTGTGAATTATGCTGCTATAAACATTGAGGTGGCTATGTCACTAAGTTCTTTGGGTATAAACAGAGGAGTGGGATAGCTAGGTCAAATAATGGTTCCATTTCAGGTTTTCCAAGGAATCTCCATAATGCTTTCCAGATTCATCATTCTAAATGGAGAAAAATTGAAAGTATTCCCTCTAAAATCTGGAACAAGACAGGAATGTCCTTTTTCACCACTTCTATTTAACATGGTTCTTGAAACTTTCGCCAGAACAATTAGACAGACAAAAGAACTTAAAGGGATATGTATAGCAAAAGAAGAACTCAAACTATCACTATTTGCAGATGACTTGATTATATACCTAGATGATCCCAAAAATTCTACCAGAAAATGTCTAGAACTAATAAATAAATTCAGCAAAGTAAAAGGATATAAAATCAACACCCAAATATCAAAGGAATTTCTGTACATCAGTGACAAATCCTCTGAAAAAGAAAGGAGGAAAACTATCCCCATTTTCAATAGCCTCAAAAAAAAAAAAACTTGGGAGTCAACAAAAGAGGTGAAAGACCTCTAAAATGAAAACTACAGAACACTAAAGAAAGAAATTAAAGAAGACTTTAGAAGATGGAAAGATCTCCCTTGTTCTTGGATAGGCAGAATTAATATTATCAAAATGACCACAGTACCAAAAGCACTATAAAGATTTAATGCAATTCCAATCAAAATCCCAATGACATTACTCATAGAAATAGAGAAAGCAATCATAAAATTCATTTGGAAAAATAAAAGA